AGATGATGTTCACGAGTGGCCACTTGGTGAAGATGAAGCATAGCAACCATGCTAATCGCGAATATAGCAGCATTGCCTAGTACGCCTCTCACATGGTTGAACCCAAGTGCTCTTTTCGCAAACCCGAAAGTCGAAGCAAAGGCATTGATCACAAAGTTTGACTGTTTCCCATCAGAAGGAGTAGAGTTTGCTCCCGCTGGGTTTGGAGAAGAACTGTAAACGTGATCAGGCGGAACGAGATGGTTGGTGTTTTTGATGCTACCAACAAACGCAAGAGCTTCCTCTAAGACTCCGTAGTTCTTGCCATGATGTTCAGCCAATCTCATAGCGAGTAACATCCGGCTCTGTTCAAGACGGGCAACGGCGACATCTCTCTCTGTTCGTTGTTGTGTATGTATAGTCTACAGAGCAAAGAGAAAGAAGTTTCCAGAGGTTACGCCAATAGAAATCTGTAAACCCTAGCTAATGACTTTCGATACCAAAAAACTAACTAACCATACCCAAATTCAATTGTTACCCTAAATTTCCTCAAATTAGCTTACAAATTGGCCGATTCTTCCGCAAACAACAAGCAGATACAATTGGTTTCAGCTACTTTCCCAATTTCACAACACTTTGTTCCCTAAAATCCGCTCATACCAAGGAATCTAATACGACTTGTTCGCAAATCTGATAAAGATTTCGAACACGAATCGATTCCAGAAAACGCAACTTACATGGAAGAATTCAAGCTGGTCTTCGAGATTCTCAAGAGCGGTTCGAATCGCGTTCAGGCTCTTCGCCTCTTGCATCGTGGAGTCGTTATCGTCGACGGCGAATCCTTTAATGAAGACATAACCCTGACGCTTTTCTTCGCCGGAACCACCGTGAGCCTTCCTCTTCTCCGATCTGGTTGTTGGTTTAACGGATTTGAGGAAATGAGAGCGAGAAATCAAGTGAATCTCGTCGCTGAGCTTGTCGTGTAGATCCCAGATTTTCTCAAGAACGGCTTCGATTTCTTCGATCTCCATTTCTCCCATTTCATGACCAAAAAGAAAAAGGGGAAAATACTTTCTTTCTTCTTGGGGAAATTTCTCACTTTAATTGTGGACTGAAATTAGCGCTCCGGCGAATTTGATTTCGGAAAACGGGTCGAAGCTTACCCGACCCGGAACGCTAAACAGTAATTATGGCACGTGTAAAGAGCAAGACACGTGTGTCGAAGTTTTGTTATATTGTTTGGACTCTAATGTGGGAGGCCCAAAACTATTGATGGATGGGTGGATATGTAAAATGAGAGAAGAAAACAGTGAAAGAAAGAAATGATGTTTTTTTCTTTTTATATAAAAAAAGAGAACAATATTTTTTTATAAAAATTTCACTGAAAATTCTAATATTAAGATTTTTACGGTAAATTTTTGATTTGTGTTTCTTCTGCATTTTTAAATTCATATCAAAGTGAATATTAAATCAAAACAAGTTAATATCAGTATTAAATGGTGATTTTATAAGTGAATAGTTGGATTATAACAGTAGATATATTGCGAGTTAGATTTATATATAATTAATTAATTTTAAAATTTGAGATATATGTTTAATTTGAAGAGATTTTTATGTATTTTAAAAGTTTAGTAATAAGAATTATGAAATTTTTTTTAACATCAACTTTAATAAAATCGTAAACCTAATGATCATTTTTAAATAACAACGGATTTTGAATAAAAATTAAAAGCTAGCAATCCAATAATATGTGATTTTGTTAAGAATGCTACGTACTATCTTCTTTTATAACTATAGTTTAA